CTGGATCATATGGCGGCCTGTACTCCTGTAACAACTCTGGATACTGTTGAGGGTAAACCGGCACCATTGGAGACATGGACCTGAAGGACTGTTCTGGGGGTGAGAACAATGGATTTCCGATAGGCACTTGCTCTGTACTCGGTGGGGGTTGCTTTGGCTGTGCACTAGTGTTTTTTTGGATTGTTTCCCTGATTTGGGACACTTCAGCCCTGAGGTCCTTTAACAACACCATGTCAGAGCGCATTTCTTTGATCTCAGATAGCACATCAGGGGACATTTGAGGTCTGTTTTGCGTTGAAGTTTTTGTTTCTCTAGGGGCTCACCAGTCTGGACAGTACTTACACTGGTTGCCCTTGTGGGGCCGCGTGCCTCTTTTTGTCCTGCATCTCCTTTTCGTTTGTACAAGCAATATTCACTTTCTCCAACAACAGTTCATCAGGTGTGTCGGGCTTTGTGAGATAAGGCTGAAGATCACTCTTGATGTCATTCTGTAAACCAGTCAAGATTGTATGCATAAACAGATTTTGGACAAGAGCAGGGTCATATTTTAAAGCTGACTCTGCTTCCTGAGAGGCAAACAGAATTTTCTGCCTCAGGTCCATCGCCCTGATTAAGAAATTCTGAGGGGACTCTTTACTGCCCTGTACCTCAGAAGTTAGCTGCTTGTATAAATCCGTAGCGCCCTCTCCTGGTAATGGGACCTTAAGATTCTGCGCAGAGCAGGCAAGGTAAGGGTCTCTTTCCCTTCCAAATAGCTCCGTAATTGTAGGCCGGGTGTTATAGCACGGATCACAGCATCAATAATATCTGTCTCTGAATAGCCTTTGGTCAGCCCACTTTCAAACTGTCTTGCCAGGCTAGAGAAAGTCAGTCGATCCTTCTGGCCTGCCTCTCCTATCTGTCCAAGAATCTTGAAATCTTTGCGCCACATTGGGTTTTCTGAAAATGTTGGAGTACATTCATCTGTGAAACCTGTGGGCAAGGAAGTGTTTTTCTGTCCATTACACCCTGGGCCTCTTTTTCTTTTTGACGTAGTGACAATCTGAGTGCCTCTATTTCTTGTTGAAGCCTCTCCTGGTCATCAGACTGAGTTTCTACTCTAAGTAAAGTCTGTTCAACAGACTTTACTTTATTTATTGTGTCCCACATGCTGAGATATTCAGACATTCCTTCATCTTCAAGGCTAGCCAGTTCCTCCCGCTCAAGATATTTAATGACATATGATATTAGATGACTGCGTGTTATACTAGTCAAAGGTTCTCTTCCAGGTGCTGAGAGCTGCAGTGTGATGCATACTTCAATCAGCTGTTCAACTGTCAAGTTATACAACACTCCTTTTACCTCCAGCTGGTTTTTCTGTTTTCTCTCTGCTGAATTCAGAAAATGCCGTATATCTGACTTTCTTTTTAAGAGTAATACAGCACCCAACAACAGTTATTTAACCAAGTAAAATGTATTTAACAAAGTAAAAAATGTATATAATTATGTAGTGAAGTTGAAATAGATGCCGGAGATGTTGCTTCTGATTCTGTGTCTGTGTTCAGCCAGGCCTACAACTGGAGGTCTGAGCTGCGATACGCAGGGGCCTGCAAGAGAAGGAATGTAGTAGGTGCATACTTTGCGAACTTTGCAGGATGCAGACAGAATGATAAATTAGCCACCTCGGGGATGGGAATTCAGAGCGATAGAGAATGACAAATTAGCCACCTCGGGGGAATTCAGAGCAAGGCCCTCATGAACCCTGGTGGTTCATGAGGTTTATCGCTCAAGATATTTAATGACATATGATATTAGATGACTGCGTGTTTTAGAGTTTATCGCTCTTTGTCTAAAGAGTAATTACCTTCAGTTATCTGTGAGCGACACACGCTTTAAACACATTTGAAACTCATAGATTTTTCTGTAACACTCACTAGTGATACATTTCAGTAAAGTTTCTCATTTGTACATGTACTTCTTAAGAATATGTGACTGTTTGTAAGCAGGCCAACGGAGGTTATTCAAATTAGACTTTTAACTTTTCTTGGTTAAAGAATTTGTCCAGAATTTTCCAAAATTTATCCTCGCATCATTGTAAATGCTACTTTCGTTCAATTTTTTTTTTCTGCTGCTGAATCAACACTGATCTTCCCAGAGCTTCATGCTTTCTCCAAAATAGTAAACGCCGGTATAAAACATTTGAAAACTCATACATTTTTCTCTGTAACACTCGCTAGTGTGAAACATGTCAGTAAAAGTTTCTCATTTGTAAATTTATTTTAAGAATATGTGACACTTATTAAACAGACCTTTCTGAGACTACTCATATTTAAGTTTTAACTTTCCCTAGAGTTGAAAGTTTTTTTTTCTCTCTTTCTTTCTTTATTTTTTTTAACACTGCACAACTACGCTCCGACATGGTAAATTATTTTGTTACCTTTATCATTATCCACTACTTTTGTCTCTAACTTATATGCTGTATGTTTCTCGGCCCAAATGATGCTTTTTTCCTCCATCCATCATTTTATACACTTGATTGTGTTCAGTAACAAAATATAGTTGTTGAATTTTCCGTTACTGAAGCTATAAATGATCAATGTAAACTTTCAGTCTGTATTCAGATAGTGAATACAATTCATATTATTTAGATTGGATGTTTTAATGCATGCACTTGGATTTCTATCGATTTATTGAATAATAGTCTGCGTAAATATTTATCAAACTGAATGGTCATTCAGGTTTCATAAAATTTTTTAAGTTTGGTTTTTGTTGCACAACTTCAAATATATGCTGGCTATCAACCAACCATTCAATCAGTGATTTTTTTCTTTTTTTTTTTAAATAACCCCTCTCACATCTTCTGACAACTAGCCCCAAGTTATAATAACATTAACTAAGTTTGCTAATGGTGCACTTTACCTAAAAACAAATATTAAAAAAAAAAACATACTCACTACACAGCCCTTCTCCCAGAGCTGGTCACAACATGGTGATTGTTTTTTTTTTTACCGTTAAAATTATCTACAGCTTTTGTTCCTTGCTTCTCATGATGCTATCTGTTCACTAATGTTCACTAATGTTCACTAATGTTCACTTCTTGTAAATGATAAGCTTATTAACGAACAATATGAACCATCAGCATGCGTTAAAGAAGATCATATCAGTCAGATGAAGTAAAAATATCATGATACTCAAAGCAATCAAAAATATATTGATCTGAAAGGTAATTTCTCCTTTTCAGGGAGCTTAGACTGAATGAAAGGAATTATTGAAATATACGACAAAATATTTAATTTGCAGAATTCCGATAATAGAACTTCAACTATGAATTGAAAGATTACATTGTATTTATTAACTGAAGATCACTTAATAAATCAACTGTTAATTAGTCATCATACTATGTAAATGACTAACAAAATTTGAACAAACAAGAAACTTGACTACCTCAAGGGATTTCTCACATTGGAGAATCAACTGTCTGATTTTTTTTAGCCCACTAAATTTAACCTTACCAAAGCTCTGCAGTAAAGCAAACGGGTACTTAGTTTGAAGCCTGAATCAGATGCCTTCAGCCTTCTGCTGAACCTGGACTTTGGCCGCTCTCGGTGTAAAATAAAACATCAGACTTTTTTAAAAAAAAAAAAAGCCCAAGTGAACATCACTTAATTATCGTCAACTAGTTGTTAAAGTGGTCAAAGGTGTCAAAAATGCTGGAACGGGTCTTTAAAGAGATCAATACCTCCATCAAAGTCTACAGCCTGCCCTGTGTTGGGTTAAAGCTTCAAATGCATGCCATGTAATACATTTTTCATAGTTTTTTTTCCTTGTTATTTTTTTTTAGCTTAAAATCCTTCTGTTTTAGACTTTTTAGACTTTGTATACTGTAAATAATGTTGTACAAGATAGTGTGACTCATATCTTTTGCTTCGTAAATAAAAATTAAGATTGTAATTTTTGACAACAGCTTCTTAATATTGCAAGGGATGACCTTTGCCAGCTCAGACACCAGGCAATGGTATATGGGAAAATGCACAGTAAATTTTGTAAAGTGTAAATTTTGATGTTACAGAGAAAAACACCAATCTCTGCTTTCATCAACACATAAAACATTGCTCATCATTTCTCTTCAGTTGTACAAATTGTAACCTTTCTTAATTTAATTCAGTTGATTTTAAAATGCAAATTTTACGATAGGTAATCTAAAGACAGTTTACAAAAAAAACCCAAAAGTAATTTTCCATTCTACTTATCAAACAGCGCAGCAATTTAAATGTATTTAAGTCAGTAAAAAACAAACAAACAAGCATAAAAGTTAAGTAATCGGAGTTTTAAAAAAAAATTTGCAGATTGCATCATGTCATTGACTTGTCATTGACTTGACTTGTTTATATGCTTCTTCCTCTTCAAATTACTGTTATCCTATCATGACCGATTTTATCCATATTTTCAGGGAAAGCCTGTGGAACCAACATGTACTATTGCTACCTTTCTTCTTTGTTTCTTTCATAGAGTAGGAACACCACAAAATGAATAACCTCACCGACTGAACTTTGAAATGAATAAAAAGTCATTCGGTTAATCATTCAGATACTCAGAATTATTTGAATTTCTTTCTTAGACAGGAACCCAGTTCCTCCATTATTATTATCATCATCATCGTCACAGTTCTGATTACAGACACTCTCAGTGAGTGCCGGTTGGAGACTGACTCTTTCCATCTTTAAGATGACTAGAACAAGCTCCTCACTGTTGATTCCATGGTGTCGGCATCACTTTATTACAAATTATAGTAAATAATTGGACATGTAGAACTATAATTTTACCAAGATAGAGCTTGAGCCGCTGTTACTGGACACAACAGGAGTTCCATAAAGTCAGGCAGTAAAAGTCACATTAAGACACAATCAGAACTTATCATGCTAAACAGATCCTTCGCACAAAAACCATCCTCCGTCCGACGTTTGTTTATCATGTCAGAGTTTTAACAAGAAAGAAAGAAAAAAAACACAGAGTCCAACCGGTAAAATTGTTGCTTTATAAATAACAACGGTTGAAAGTGTACATTTTATCTTTAGGCTTTTATGCAACAACGTATTAATAAGCTACATTATTTGTTGTTAGTTAATAGTATCATTCTGAACACAACATCTAAACGTCGATCAGTACTGGATCTGCTCTTCTCTTCTGCAGCCCCTGGAATAATAGCAACAACTGATCTCTGCTGTTCCTTAGGACCAAAATCTCCCTGTAAGGAGAAAAAAAATCAAAGTTTTGTTTCTTTTACATTGTTGTTTTTAGCGCACACATATGATAGAGTACTTAATAAATTTTAATAAAAGTCTTCATTTAGATATATTATATTTGTTTAGACCATAAAGGAAAGTTATTACGTAGTTATACTCTACAATTCAAAAGGGAAAAGTTTTTTAAAGTTTTGACAAACCTTAAAGTCTTTTCAGCTCGTGGAAGATCCGTTTCAGTGAAGTTATCAGTGCAGTGAAGTTATCAGTGAAGTTATCAGTGAAGTTATCAGTGAAGTTAGCGTTCACGGAGGGAAACTTGTTGCTGTTCTGCTCAGTCAGAATGTTGCTGATGTCAGAAAAATCTGCTGTCATGTCATGTCATGAGCTGGAAACAAAATAAATAAATAAAATCAACAAACGTGTTTGCAAAAACAAGCTGCATCGTATTTTCACTTAAGACTTACAAAATAATTTCATGATTTTGGCAAAAGTGCCAATCAGGTGTAAAATCTGCTGTAGAATTTAAACTGAGGTAACGCTGAACAGAAAATCGTTTGAAAAAAAAGAAAGAGGAGACATTCTACCCTAAATGCTGCAAATGCAAGCGTTGCTGAAAATAATTCAAACTCATGTAACATCGCGTAATGTTTCAGCTCTCTGCATCACTTTGAGTCACCAAGCTTTATTCTTTTTATACCCTTGCTATTTCATCAGTTCGATTTCAGAAAGGAATCGATGAAATTTTTTTATAACAGAAACATAAAATGTACTCATTTTTACATCTTTAAGATGACTATAACAAGACTCACTGTGTACACTGAGGGCGATGAGTTCGGTCAAAAGGAAAACGTTCAGGATTCCCAAAGATACGGCCACACCGAGGCAGAGCCTCTCTTTGGAGCTGCTGCTGCTACCTGAACAGAAACCTGAACAGAAACCTGAGCCTTAGCAAAATGTAATTAAATTAAATACATACTATATTTCTCTGTGACTTTGTTCTTACCTGTGGGATGAGATGCACTTTGTCCAACAGGTTCCATATTGACGTAAATTTCCTCCATCGCTTCAAAACTCTGTACTGGGTTTTTTATTTTTTTTTAAAACATTGACTATAAGTAGTGGAACAAAGTGTAAAAAACTGTGGGAAAGAGGTGAGATGTTTGGGGTTCAACATAAAAACGTATTTTAGAGATAACAACCAGATAAAGAAATTCATGAGTATGGAATCAGGATTATTTTTCTTAAATATCTTACGCCACATAAAATTCTTGAAGGTTTCAATAATTTCCTAGGTTCATATTTGCTGAGTCAATTCTGTATCGCTGAATATTTATTTCTCCTTTTTTTCTTTGTTTTCCCTTCAGCTCGGTTAATCCTACTCATAATAAACACATTACAATTTTCTTTGGGTGACAAAAATAATTGACTTTTACATTCACGCACAACTTTGCGGTCGACCACATGGTACTGCATGGCACCGCATGGTATCAAAAATTTTAAAAATGTTTTAAATCACTGATATAAGAGTAAAAACAATAATAATAATCTGATGTTGAGATATTTCTGCTCTTTGTATCCAAAATGATTTCCTTGAAGGCTAATACATTGTTGGAGCAGATAACCGGTTCCCTCCTCTGTCATATTAAGATCATAATTGTGTCATATGGATCCAACAGTTTTTTTACAGGTCTCAGTCTGTCCTGATAACTAGACATAGTCTTGCTCTCAGTAAATACAACTGTCATCTTTTAACCTTGTTTCTTGTCCAGTAGCAGAAACACTTACATTAAGAAGCCACAGTCCTTGAGTTGCATTCCAAATGACCAAACTTGTATCACCCATGAATCAAATAATTAAGGAATTGAACGTATTTGTTCATATTTTAAAGGAATGTAGTTTTTAGGATCGCTATCTAGTAAAAAAAAAAAAAAAAAAAAAAAGCTGCATAATCTGGCTAGTTGGCTGTAAACCTCAGTCACCATGTTTCCTCATCTTCTGAAACAACCACCAGGCAGAGAGCAAACAGATTGACAATCAATTTGCTTTGTGAAGCACCGCCTCACTGGGAGGGAATCAAAAGGCTAAAGTGCCAATCAGGTGCAAGTTGGGCGGTTTAAAGTAAGAGAAACCCGATACTGCCTTCAGAGCATGCTGAAGACCAACAGGCAAGCAAGCAAAACATTCACAGAGTGGATGTAGAATATCAGAGTTCTGGAATAGAATCGGAGTACAGGATAGAAGAGTTGACTGAATAAAGACGTTGCACAGAAATTCAGACTGGGAAGCTAACTGGCAAATTGCAAGCTAAGTATGTAGAGCAGGAAAATAGGTTGGATTTACTTAAATTTATGCAAACCAATTGCCTCAAAAGATTCAGTTACTGCAACATATAAAATACAAGTGTAGTTACACTGTGTAATTTTGGCAAAGAATATTCTTAAACTCATCCAGAATATTATTCTCTGCAAAAAACTTCTTTTATTTTCTACCTACAGCAGCAGCAGCACCAGCAGCAATATATTTGCTACATACAATAAAGATACACGGTCTCATTTTTTTTTTTTGGGACATAGTTGTCCTGTTCAAAACCTTGTGGTTTGCTTGAGCAGAAATGGTTTGGTGTCTGCTGGGCATGTTAAAATGTGAAACATTTAGCACACAACATCCTCACTACTTTCAGATAGTTCACTTTTTATTTTATTTTTGTTGTTGCGTGGACTCAATTTAAATAGATTAACTGATAAAGCTTTTTTTTTATTATTGTTTGTGTGTTTTATCCAAAGATTCCTGCCAATGGTTTAAGATGAGTATAAACAACTAGTTGATGATAATTAAGTGATGTTCACTTGGGCTTTTTTTTTTTAAAAAAAGTCTGATGTTTTATTTTACACCGAGAGCGGCCAAAGTTCAGCAGAAGGCTGAAGGCATCTGATTCAGGCTTCAAACTAAGTACCCGTTTGCTTTACTGCAGAGCTTTGGTAAGGTTAAATTTAGTGGGCTAAAGAAAATCAGACAGTTGATTCTCCAATGTGAGAAATCCCTTGAGGTAGTCAAGTTTCTTGTTTGTTCAAATTTTGTTAGTCATTTACATAGTATGATGACTAATTAACAGTTGATTTATTAAGTGATCTTCAGTTAATAAATACAATGTAATCTTTCAATTCATAGTTGAAGTTCTATTATCGGAATTCTGCAAATTAAATATTTTGTCGTATATTTCAATAATTCCTTTCATTCAGTCTAAGCTCCCTGAAAAGGAGAAATTACCTTTCAGATCAATATATTTTTGATTGCTTTGAGTATCATGATATTTTTACTTCATCTGACTGATATGATCTTCTTTAACGCATGCTGATGGTTCATATTGTTTGTTAATAAGCTTATCATTTACAAGAAGTGAACATTAGTGAACATTAGTGAACATTAGTGAACAGATAGCATCATGAGAAGCAAGGAACAAAAGCTGTAGATAATTTTAACGGTAAAAAAAAAAACAATCACCATGTTGTGACCAGCTCTGGGAGAAGGGGCTGTGTAGTGAGTATGTTTTATTTTTTTAATATTTGTTTTTAGGTAAAGTGCACCATTAGCAAAACTTAGTTAATGTTATTATAACTTGGGGCTAGTTGTCAGAAGATGTGAGAGGGGTTATTTAAAAAAAAAAAGAAAAAAAATCACTGATTGAATGGTTGGTTGATAGCCAGCATATATTTGAAGTTGTGCAACAAAAACCAAACTAAAAAAATTATATGAAACCTGAATGGCCATTCAGTTTGATAAATATTTACGCAGACTATTATTCAATAAATCGATAGAAATCCAAGTGCATGCATTAAAACATCCAATCTAAATAATATGAATTGTATTCACTATCTGAATACAGACTGAAAGTTTACATTGATCATTTATAAGCTTCAGTAACGGAAAATTCAACAACTATATTTTGTTACTGAACACACTCAAGTGTATAAAATGATGGATGGAGGAAAAAAGCATCATTTGGAGCAAGGCCCTCATGAACCACCAGGGTTCATGAGGGCCTTGCTCTGAATTCCCCCGAGGTGGCTAATTCCCCCGAGGTGGCTAATTTGTCATTCTCTATCGCTCTGAATTCCCATCCCCGAGGTGGCTAATTTATCATTCTGTCTGCATCCTGCAAAGTTTGCAAAGTATGCACCTACTACATTCCTTCTCTTGCAGGCCCCTGCGTATCGCAGCTCAGACCTCCAGTTGTAGGCCTGGCTGAACACAGACACAGAATCAGAAGCAACATCTCCGGCATCTATTTCAACTTCACTACATAATTATATACATTTTTTACTTTGTTAAATACATTTTACTTGGTTAAATAACTGTTGTTGGGTGCTGTATTACTCTTAAAAAGAAAGTCAGATATACGGCATTTTCTGAATTCAGCAGAGAGAAAACAGAAAAACCTAACACACAGACCATATGGATTTCACAGGCCGTACCTATATTTGATCAAGCCCCCAGCTCAGACCCCAGTCGTAGGCCAGGCACAGAATCAGAAGTAACATCTCCATTCCAAATCTATTTAAAACTTCAGTAGGCATAGTATATAATTATATACATTTTTCTTGATTAAATAACTGTTGTTGTATTGGTATTACTCTTTAAAAAAGAAAAAAATCAATAGGAGGAGGAGGAGGAGGAGGAGGAGGGGGGGGGGAAATGGGGGGGAGGGGAGATGTTTTGTCTTCAAAACAACACCGCACTGAACCACATTCACCTCCAGACTACACAAGAATAACAAATAAAAGTCATTAAATCCTCATAAACCGACAAACAACTTTTAAAGTCGTGTCTTCGTGTAAAAAGACGAAAAAAAAGACAAAGGCGAAACAAGAAACGAACCCGGAAATTACACAAGTCTCACGCTCTCTGTTTTATCATCTTCGTTTCCGCCACGTGGAGCTTTTTTTTCTTTTTCTTCTTCCTTTTACCCACAATGCTTTTGTCCAACATGGCTGCTCCCGTGTGCAGGCGTGTGTGTAAACAGTTGTAGCGTTATCCTCGACTAAAGAGAGAAACCGCGGCCTGTGTCACACGGTGGAATATTTACCTGCTTCCGGAAGACATTTCTCCTATCTTAGCGAGCAAAATGAAGATTAAATCCAAGTCTTCGTATCACAAATCGGAGAACACCTACAGGGTGAGAGACTGGGAGCTGGACGTAGCATGATGCTAACACAGCTTTTAATGTTTTTAATGTTGACCTGAAACACACACACACACACACACATATATATATATATATATATATATATATATATATATATATGCATATATATTTGTGGCATATTAAGATGAATGAGTAGGTATTTATTTATCTCTGTTTTCAATCCTGTCTCATTCCTTTTTTCAGTTTCTCACGTTTGCTGAACGACTCGCCAATGTGAACATTAATGTGATCCACCGAATCGACAGAACCGGAGCTTACGCTGAGGTTTGGATCCCGACGGTTCCTCTCCGTCTGACCGAGCTCCACTGCTTTTTTTTTTCATCTGACTGCAGGTTTTTTGTTTTTCTTTCTCTCTTCACAGGAGGTAGAGACTTACTTTTCAGAGGGCTTAACAAAATGGAGAGACCTCAACTTAACAGAGCATTTCAGTGAGTAATGAAGAACGTATCAGCACCCGCTTTAATGTGTTTTATGTCGAAAACCGAGCAAACTGACCAGCCTATGTCGCAGCAGAGGGTGGGAAAATGTTCACTATAAGGTTTCACTTCTAATGATGAGGAGCAGTGAAAGGTTTGGGTTTTTTTATGTGGCATTGGCTGCGTCTGAACGAACCCAAATGAATTGACATCACGAAAATAAATTTGCTTAATGGAAACACAGATTTCTAATTAAAAAAATTTTTTTTTTAAAATGTCAACAGTTTTGCGCTTGGATTAGGTGTTTTTTTTTTCAGCCAATGTCTCTGACTTTTTTCTTTTTTCTCCTTTTCCTCAGCTACATTTTTAAAAGAGGTGTCGAACAAGAGCCAGTCCTTCAACATGCTGGTTTTCCACCAGAAGTCCATAGTGGAAAGCCTGAAAACCCACCTGGCAGTCAAGAACAGTTTGGCCTACCAGCCCCTATTGGAGTAAGCTTTCTGCCCTCCCAGTCCAGCATTTTATCAGGTGTCTTTGAGTTCCACACACACCAACATTTGAATCTTTTTTCGAATCCTTTGTTATTCCTTCTCTGCAGTCTGGTGGTGCAGCTGGCCAGAGACCTGCAGGCTGACTTTTATCCGCACTTCCCCGACTTCTTCCTCCTCCTCACCTCGCTGCTAGAGACCAAGGACACGGAGGTGCTGGAGTGGGCTTTCACCTGCCTCTCCTACCTCTACAAGTACCTGTGGAGGCTCATGGTGAAGGACATGACCAACATTTACAGGTGACGATTAATCCTCTCACAACGAGCAATAAGTCACTTAATTGTGTGACAAATCAAAATGAATCCTTTTTATTTAATGTTGTTCAGAAGTTGGCATTTTGAGAGATGAAAGTTGGCACAACCTACCACTTCAGCCTGTTTTCCCGTCTACGCTGAATTGTTATTACTTTTTTGAAGTGCAATTTAGGTTATAATATATTTTAAATTATTGATGGTTCATTTTGCTTATTTATATTCTTTGTAGTTCCAGTGTTAAATTAAAATTTTGCTTTACATGTGACTTATATTCTATATTATTTCAGTTCAAAATGGCCTAAAAATGACAATATCCTCATTTATTTCTTTCCCATGACTTTCCTATTTAACCCTTATTCTAAAAGCAATGTGCGTGTTTCTGCAGCAGCCTGTAGGGATTATTGTTTGCAAATTTTCATCAGTCAACTTCCCTGTTTTAAAGCGACGCCTTCCTTCCACAGTCTTTACAGCACACTGCTGGCACACAAGAAAGAGCACATCCGTAA